TTACATGCATACTCGTTTACCATCCCATCGACCGTGCGACATACTACGACCAATCTGGGCTCCACAAAGATAGTCTCAAATTGCATCAACGTATGATGAACGCATTGTCAGTTGTGTTTTCTGTCACGGGGCTCGTCACAGTACCAATAATATCGGCAATACTCTCTGAGGCTGCGGTCGTCTATGCCCAGAAGCGTCGAGAGACTCAGTCTGTCAACATCAGACAACTGTTTGCTCTAGCAGACCGAGGGTGGTCCAGTCTTGCTATCCTGAGGGACGCCTTACCCACATGGACAAGCCATAGCAACCGGCGCGCAGATGTTAGCAGTCGATTCTTATGGCTGGCAGCGTTGTTTCTCCTCATATGTACGTCGGGTACGGCAGAAGCTCATTGTTTCTTGTCCTCATTTCGGTATTCCTAGTTCGCCCCCGCTATCTCAACAGGTTACCGAAATGTTTTCAGGCCCACTGACTTGCACCAGGTGGTATTCAGCAGCCCTTACGCGAAGCTCTAGTATCGAAACAGTCAACTCGGGGTATGTGTTTGCTCAAGAAACTTGATTGGGCGCCTTGACTAAATTCGCATATAGTGATGACGTCCAACGATAATTTTGCGTCAGGGTTTAGGGTAACCTACAATTTCAAAGACCAGAGCAAAATTCTGGGCTTCGATGCCGAGCCATATGGTATGCCTATTTCTCGTCTTCATCACTCTAGCTGCATTTGATACGAGTTTTCAACGCTGTTTCAGCCCTCCACACCCCGAAGCCAGAGCACTTTACTGATCATCACCTTAGATATAGCTAGAATACCAGAGGATATCGTCACGCAGGATCTCATGAACAGTCTAGCCACGTTCAACGGTTACGAATACCCTCCTCATCTATGGCAAGACCCAAGTGGACTCAGGCCATACTATCTCGACACAACATCAACTTCTCTTAAGCGACAAGGCCCATGGACCGCACGACAGCCATGGAACGATTACTTTGTAGCTGCATTGCCTAATGCAACCATGACTGGTGTACTCAGACAGCGAGTGATGAGACTCAACTCAACCGTAGTTTGCCTGAATATCGCTCGATCAGATTTCCCGTCGTCGTGCGCAGGTGAAGACCCCTTTGTTGTATCCATTTCTCGGGCTAGGCAGACTGAGATACGTCTGTGCGTTCCAGGTCGTCGAGGGGCGTTTCCATGGCAGCTTACCCGCAATATGCAAAACATCACTGAAGATGTCTATATGGATCTATCAGGAGCTAATTCTACTAATCTTATTCGCCGCTGCACGGTACATACCGTCCGAGGATACTTTGAGTTGGGTAACTATCGAAATGGCGAAACGCATGGCCCGCTGTTAGAACGGTGGGAGGAGCCAGATCGCTTTGCCGCTCAATCTGAGTATGTTTCGTATTTCATGTTCTATTAGTAATCAGGTTAATTGATCGAACACGGCAGGTATAATGACTGGCTATCACCGAAGTGGCAGCAGACAGACAGATGGCGAAGACCATCTGCGGAGTGAGTAGTGTCTGCTTGTATCTGATGCTTGTGGCTAAGTTCGCGAAGGGACAAAATCACAGATTTGCCCGGCTGGCCAAAGTCCTTGGCTTATCAAACACCCTGGTCCCCCGTTCCCGCATCAAACAATCCAAATCGCACGATGTCTGGGCCTTTGATGACATCAATGATAGCTATGTTTGGGGAGCGATCACTACTTGCAACGGCCAATTCATCGACAAACGCGACGGATGCCGCCTCGCAAATTTGCACCTCCGGTCGCATGCCGTTCTCCATATTCGATGGCTATGACAAGTATGAAAAACAATGTGCTAATTTAACAGGTAGCAATGACCAGGATGATGAAGTTCTTGCTTCGATCTTGTCAAAGTTTATGGTAACAACATTTAACAACACGCAGCATATTTCTGCCAGCGTGTGAGTAGTGATCATTCATCCTTCTGTTCAAAGACATTCAACTGATCACATGCCACCTAGCTACTTCGCCAATCAAGCAATGCTCCTGCAGACTGTTCAGAACACGCAAGACTTTACTGCTCGTCAAATACGCTCTGCCCCGGGTGGATACATTCAACGCCCAGTCGTCACTATGTACGGCTTGGTGATCATCTCCGCGCTCATGTTCATACAGTTGACCGGTCTCGCATATCTAGTATGGTATATATACCAAGTGCCCACCTGGACTGCTCTGCTCGACGCAATGGCCATTGCGCGGATCGCAAACAGCTTGGACAAGGGCACCATTCCAGCCATCGGCTCTGTCACAAAGCAAGAACTGGACCAACTAGGCGAGATGAATGGCTTAATCGGCGTCGTCGATTCGGTGCACATGGACGAGGAGACAGACGATTCATCGCTCAAGAGAGAAATTGAGTTGGGGCTTGGGGCTCCGGGAGTCTTTAATCGACGGCTGGCAAAGGTTGCGATGCAGAGGGCTGAAAGGAGGCGCACTGAGAAGGAATGTCCGTGCTCGGGATGTCAACGCAAGCGTGCGGTCGCGGTGTCGGGCGATGATCATGTTGAGCCATCAGAAGCGGGAGACTTGGAGATCAGGCCAGTGGGAACACATATAAGCAGCCATGGCGGAGCATAGTGGCCATGCAAAACACAGCAAAAGCCCTGACGTCAGCTAGAGATGGATAACAATTTTAGTGACTGCTTCTATATATAACACTCGGCGAAAATAGTTCGGCTCATTATCAATTATGGGTAGGCAGGGTATCTACAAATGCTTATGATTTAAGTCTCTAGAATTATGAATCTGGGTCGAGGCTATACAAGCTGCTCGATAGGAAACAGAACCACCATATTACTATATTGCACTTTATCTACCTCTCCCAGCCCATTTAGGTTTTCACCAACGCCATAGCAGGAAATACCGCCCAGCTCACAGGCCATACAACTCCTCGTCTTCCATAGCTTTATCTCCATCACTAGCAGCATCTTCGATCTCCTCCTCCTCGTCTTCGTTCTCCAGCCAAAGCTGCTCTCGGTGATGAACCTCAACGTGATTTAACCACTTTGCTGCTGTTTGAACGTCCTGTTAGAACATGAGAGACAAGCTGCGCTACCAGCTTCGGCCGCTTTCAGTGCGTTGAACGCAAGAATGCATTGCTCGCGACGGGCGTGTGTGTTTCACCCTTGAGGTGCTTGTTTAGTTGAGCACGATTAAGTTTTTCCTCCTTTGCAGCAACTGTGGCAGTTGTACAAGTCTGCAACGCCAGCAAATTAAGCCAGAAGTAGGTTGACCTTTTCGCGCGATGAACGCCGTGAGGAAAGCAACACGTTCAGTGTGTGTTGCTTGCTTCTCGCCTTCTTTTGTACCCAAATCAACTTGAACGGTTTGTTCTTCCGGCAGGTCCTACCAATGAACTAGCTCACCACGTATATTCTCGCGTTCTTCTTGCTCCTCCAAGAAATCAATGTCAATTCCTTTATCCACTTCTTCTGGCTCCAAGTTGTCGGTGTTTGCGTTGCCCTGTAGCAATTTCCTGACGGTAGCAAGTCGACTGTTGGTGAAAACTTGACCTCGGGAAGCTCCTGTTGTGCATCTTTGGCTTCTCTCCGAATTGAGATTGGAGCGCCACCTTTGCCTGCAGTTAAGCCGTGAGTTGCTGACTTCTTGCCATCCTTGAGGAGCGACCGCATCTCATCCGCAAGCTCTTCAAGAATAGCCTTTCTGAGGTTCTTGCGAATCTTCTTGAGTGCCATTTTCCGCTGGCAGAACGCAGCTTTGAGCTTATTAAGAACGCTCTTCGCCTCGGGATTGCTGATTTGTTTGAGCAATACTTTGTATGCCCCAGTGACGCTGCCGGTATATCCTCGAGGTACGTTAGTCGAATCGGTCGAATTGTTTAGAAGGAAATCGCGGGTCTCATCAACAGCAGCCCTGATAGTGTTGGTCACACTGGTGTATTCCGATTCCTCTCGCTCGCGGTCTCGTAGCCTCTCCTCTAGCTCTTCGCGGAGAGATGTTTCGTAATCAGTCGAGTGCTGTACGTATGCCGTCTGGAAGGCTTGACTGACCATCTTCCTTGCATCTTCACGTGATATTCTTTCTCTGCCTAGTATGTATAATTGTATGTCGATATCGCCGACGCCGACGGTATCGTAGCGATCATGAACGTTTGAGTCGTCGTCGTGGGCGACAATCGCGCGAACCGCTCCGGTGCCGTGTATATGTTTTGTCTCGATGATACGTGTACACCGGAAGCAATATATGGTATTGCGCTGTGAAAGTCCGGCATCCACGCATGCGCGGCGCAATCGCGGATTCAGCGCATCCGTCTTCATCGGTAACTCAGGCGTGATGTTGCCTCGAGGACTAGCTGCTATGAAAACAGCTTGTTGGGCAACTCCAGCCTGTCTATCCTCACACTACTATGAGGACTTCAAAAGACTCTGATAAGGATTTGAAGGTAGATAGGTCTTAATATCAAAAGACATATATCATCGCGCAATCCACTGTATAGTACCTAGTAGCACGTTAACAAATCGGTGCATCACCAAATACGAGCTCCTTTGTGGAGGGAGTCTTAACATGCCCTTAACGTATATGATCTTGAAGAGTTGGCCAATTCACATTTCAAGTTGTCGGAGGTGGCTCAACCGCTACGCAATCGCCAATATGTTCCGCACATTGGTAGTCATCAGTGCTCTTAATTCAGTAATTCTGTATTAAAGAGTCTGTTAGTGAGAGGTGCAAGAATAGTGAGTGTTCCAGCATACAAAATCTGCGACGAAGTGTCACTGTTGACTATTGCGCGTAAGAGGGGACTACACGTTACTCGCCAAACTGTATTTCGCAAACTTTATGCTGTTGAAATCCATCGTTGGTCCGAGTGTCTCAGCTAGTAGTCTGAGCCACAAAAAGAATTGCCATGTGGTGTTCCAGTGGTCGAGTTCCACCAAATTCACCCAACCGCAAAAGCACCCACACACAACCACGCCACCATCCGAAAGCACTGTATTGGCAAAAAGAATGGACTCGCGGGGAATCGAACCCCGGACCACTCCCACACTTCATCTCTTTGGAGATCTGATGCTAAGGGAGTATTATACCACTAAACCACGAGCCCTGGTGATGGTTGATGGAGAAAGGAGCTTTACAATAATTTATATATTTCATTTGATAACAATTCAAGCTTGAGAAGGGTTCAAGGGAAGATTGATGCATGAGATGAAAAATTTCGGGCATGCGGGGGTAAATCGTGCACGGTCGCTTGTCTGAGTAGCGTCAGGCCGATCCGGAGATTATTCCAAGGTTGCCTTCCCCACTATACTTCAGCCTCACCTGCGTCCTTCAGCCAGTGTACTTGCCCGTCTTCTCACCTTTCGAAGATGTCGCTTCTTCTCCGCCCAAAGGTCCCAGGGGTGCATCCATCGCGTCCACTCCACCGCTAGTCACTCCATGATCGGGAATCTCTATACAAATTTCCGGTGGCTCTGGATCTCCGGATTTGACAATGAAGATGCCCCGCTGTGCCGACGCTCATGGCAATGACGGACAATGCATCATCTGGCATCACACTACCACCAGATGAGCCTCGTGGACAGATGAATCTATGGTGGCCGAGGGACGTACTTTACATCAGCCAAAAACCGTTGGGAGAGACGAATAAGACGTACCAGACGTACGAGCCATAACATGCGAGTCAGGAGAAGAACATCAAGAATCTCGTCGAGAATCTTGCCATTGACGCAAATAAAACCCCTGTTTCGAACATATACGGACGCACCTTGAAGGCGAATGAGTTCCGCTTGGTCTGTCTCGCATCTGTACCCAGGAAAGACTATCCAGTGCATCTCAGTCTGGAAACTTACACCTTTGAGAATCGCCCGGAGTATGAAACCGCTTCGTACATGTGGGGTGGAGAGATCGGCGACAGCACTCCTTGCCTGCCCGTCTTCATTGGACCATATTGGGACGTTCTTCTACAATCACAAAACTGCTGGGATATGCTTCAGTTTGTCCGTCCTTGGCGAGGAATACGAATGATGTGGGTGGACACAATATGTATGTACCTATGTTTCCAACATTACGAACATCGTCCGGCTGAACTCATTTTTACGATTTGGCTATGTGCAGGCCTGCAGCGATCCCAGACTCTACGATTGAAACTATATCGTTGTAGCCTGGTGGCTGTCAGTATGTTACATAGTTCGACCTCGGAATAAGAGATGTGCTGCACTCACGCACAAGGATACATACCTAGGTACTGACATGTTCCCATCATCTAGGCATGAACCAGCGCAACTTAGAAAAAAGGACATCACAGGTTTCTCATATGCGCCATATCTACGGAGAAGGTAGCAGAGTGGTCGTCTATCTCGGAGACGATGTCGTCACGGACCTAGGGCGTTTTCCTGTCCATCTGAACTTGGGCCACATCAACTCAGCACCGTCCTATGGCGATGCCTTCGAGAAAGCTTCGGTTGGTCTTGTACCGAAGATATATCTGCGATCAGAAAGAATACACAACTTAGAGAAGCTCTCATCCCGAGCATATTTTGGCAGAGTCTGGGTGAGTGAGAATTTGTTCTAAACTGCATCGCCCACTAATCTAGAGTCTAGGTCATTCAGGAGCTCATCGCGTCAGAACAAGCTGTCCTACGCATTGGCAATAATGAGTTTAAAGCTGACGCTGGAGCTATGTTTCGGATCTCACTACCACAAGGGGCACCTTTCAATTGGAGCCAGACAAGGGCGCCCTGGGTGCAATATCTGGGGCAAAAAAAGGCATTGATTCAAGAAATACAAAAGATGTCGTCAGTTTAGCGGCGTTAACTTCAAGATGCCGCGCTACGGATCCTCGCGACAGAATCTTCGCAATCACAAAGCTTCTCGGAGAAGCCAAGCTACGCGAAAGCCTAACACCCGATTACACGTTATCCTTCCAGCACTTCTCTATCGGTTTTTTCGCGCACGCGCTTCTCGTCTCGCGAAAACCATTCTTTCTTGACCATGCTGGAATATCAAGCTCCTTGTCATCTCCAACCTGGGTGCTACGATGCCGGTCGGATGAAGCATGGGAAATAGTGTTTGAGCATGCTTTCCCGCACTATAAGAACCCCTTGGACCGACTCAAGTCATATTCCACCTGGACCTGTCAGGTACATCTCGATCCGTGGCGTGAAGTCACTGCCCGGGAACTGGCATCGGTGTACAAATGCCGGCCCGAGTACATCAAGCCCGCGATCGATTCTGCTACCGGGGCGCTCCTCCTCGATCTAGCACATCTGTTTGTTTTTTAATCGAAGCCTACCCTATGTGCAACATCATCCAATATACATCTATACGAGGTGGTGTCCAAAACAGCGCTCCACTTTTTTGCGTGGACTCACCTTGCAGTTGAAGAGGGCGACCATCTCTTCGCACTGCCAATGGATCGGGGCTTTGAAGACCAAGATCGAAAGAGTATCGGGACGTCTGATGGCTTTTCACGAACTGACGAAGTCCAGCTTGATGTTGAAGTAATGATGTACCTTGTGTTGCGCCAGGTGCCTAGTGAGTACGGCTTCCTCACATTTCGACTTGTTACGACGCGTCTGAGTCTCTGTGCATCTTTCGAAGCGTTATCTGGAGGCCTTACCGACAGCGACTGGCCTGAGGTACGGAGCACCTACTTCCTAAGACTCTCTCAAGTATAGACGAGCATTGCAACTGCAATAACCAATATCATGCAATCTCTCATAGAGGCTAAAGCAGCGGTAACCTCGGAAAAGCAAATTTGGTGGATCAACAGACTGCCTACCGGCCATGACGAATGTAGCCGACTTGACGCTTCTGAAATATGCTATGCTTTCTACCTCGACGAACAGAGAGACGAAATGGAAGGATATTGGGGCAGGCTTGGGGAGGCCTTGATGGGAAATACCACACCTCAGTGCGCATCCCCATGGGAAAAGTGGAAAATTGTTCAAGCAATGAGAGAGTTACTAGTCCGGAACAACATAAGGGCACTACTCGATGCACTGTGCCACGCGTATGAGCCTCCAAGTGACATAGAGGATGTAATACGGTGGATCCGCCATTAGATTGCGGCCGTGATTGTCCGTATCAGCAAACGCAAGCGAGAAAGCGATGCTGCCATGGAAGCGTTTGAGGTGGACTTGGTCAAGGATGCAAAGAAGCGTTGGCTTGTGGTACGCGAGGACCCTACCTAGGAACCATCGATGACGACACGTTTGAACCCGATGCAGAGGAAGCCATCGAGTCATTGCATCAGGAACTGCGGAGAAATTGTATGTGCGTGTATCACAAGTGCTCGGGCTTAATCTCATTGCCCCAACGACAAACGAGCTCGCAAGGAGAGACATGCTTCGACGATTCTTTGGTGTGCAAGATCCGATTGAAAAGCACTCACTGCAGGGAACCAACATAACCGTGAAGTAGGCTTTCGAGGCATCTCGTTAGAGACATACAAAATGACAAGACCATGAGCACTTAATTGTCACCCGCTGTCTTGCCCGAGTTCGTGCACATCGCCAAAGTATCACAGAGTCACTGGATCAACGACTGTGCTTGAATCCCTTTTTTGAGAACGACTTGTTTCGTCCGCAACCCAAGACCCTTTGGCAACTCCCAAACGCCTCGGACAATGCCTTGGTCGACTCTTTTCGAACGTCAACAGGGAATAGTCGGTAGTGCATCAGTCCTCCCACTCAGTGGGAAACGAATTTTGGCAGATAGCGTTACTTCCGTTCTTCGAGACGCCGTGGGTGCAGCCTTCAATCACTCACTCAAGCATTTAATTCTTCCAGCCGCTGGACAGCAAGCCAACCCAACATTGTTGTAGAGTATTCGATCAAACATCATATCTAGAAAAGTCACTTCAATTGAGTTACACGCGAAAGCCAAAGCACACAGACCGACGACCATCACATACACACTATCAGATAAGATAGTTTGTGGTTCATGAACCATTCCATTAAGCATTACATTAACTAAGGATCACCAACGACATCAACACAACCACTACGTCAAGATCAAGCCCTCCTTTCTGATCACACCAACATCGTTCCCAACCCCCAACCAGACACCGAGCCGCTCAAAAGAGTAGAAAGCCGCGAGTCCAGTGCCCAAGCGAATGTATAAGTACATTTTCGAAACAAAAAGTACTTTTTCTACAGCTGCCCATAAAACAAACGTGCCAGAAGCGACCGACTGGGGTATCAAAAACACAAAAAAGGTTTATACTAAACCGCGCAAAAAATGGTGCGCTAGCAAGGAATCCACCGGAAATAGGTGTAGTGGGTCCCCGAAATGATGATGCATCCCGACTCGCTCTTGCGACGCCTATTTCTATGCCCGTGTGATAGTTCAAAAATATGGTCCGCTCAAATGCTGCGAAAACAAATAACTCCGTGGTATGCATGAGGTCGTCAAGGCCGTTGCCGTGAGGATGTAGGTGGTGATGATGCGAGCATAGAGATGAGGAGGTTTGGATGATGGATGGATGGTGTGAGATGTTAGTCCTTCCGCTGTTCAGTATCGGATCCAACAGTGTCGCCATCCCAGAGACTCTGGGAGTCGGCGTCTATGGGTGATCGTGCTCCCATGGGACTTCGGCCTCCGGTCGAGTATGATGAAGAGGAGCCGCTGGCCCAGTCATCAGAGTCGGAGTGAGGCTGGAACTCTTCGTAGATATCGAGCATGCTGTAGCCAGCACTGTCCGCAGGATCGCCAATCTCGACGTAGTCGTAGTCCCAGCGGAACTCCTTGTCTGATTGTGGGCGTGGGAGGAAGTTGGCGCGACCGAAGAAGAAGCAAACACCGGCAACTGAGATCTGTTAGTACGTGAATACTTGCAAGAAGAGTTCAAACTTACGCAAACTGCCAGCGACAAGGTCGACAGCGTAATGATGTGAAAAGTACATCGTTGACCACCATAGCCACATCGTGTAGAAAACGTACACGGGGAAAAGCTTGGGGAACAGATGTCCCATGAACAGAGTTTCGAGTGTCGCCCATCCCGAGTGCAATGAGGGGAAAGCACCAAAGACGACTGGGGACGCATGGAACCCAGAAGTGTAGAGATCGACACCAAAGAGCTTGTCGATTGCCTTCAACCCCGCA